GCTAAAGTCTCAGTCCCACTTACTAGACAGAAGGGAAGGAATATCTGAAGAGAATTGTTGGATTATCCACTAACTTCCAGAACATACTGAAGAAGTACTGCCCTGTCCTCCTGAACCCCATGCTCAGGTAGAGGGCCATAGCACCTTTCTGCAGGAAGCTAGTCCCAAGGATGACATCACTGTAACCCTGGCTCCATGCAAACTGGAGGACAGTTCTGACCAGTGCTTTGGCTATCCCCTGTCCACGGTGCTGTGGTGACACAGATAAGTGAAAGAGCTCCATCTGCTTCCTCCCTAATGGGGGATCCTTGACTGGTAGACAGCCCACGATGCCCACCACCTCTCCCGCAGACTCAGCCACCCAGAAAGAGCCAAGTGCATTCAGGTAGGACTTGGTGATGTCAGCCATGTCTGTGTGCAAACACTTGGCCAAATACTCCTTCCAGGGCTGTCTGGCAAGGAGTTTAGCAGAAGGAGCACAAACAAGATGCTCATAGCAGCTAGCAGCCAGGAGCCAGATACCAGGACCACAGCAAGCGGCATCGCAAGTAAGAGAAGGAGGGTCCGGGGCAGGGTCAGCAGGTGGCAGAAGGTGGTGGGGATGTACTCCTCAGTGCCCCTTATGAACAAATCCAGGACAACTTTCTGGTCGCTGTTCTGGTACTGGCGGATGTGATAAGAAGCCATGGGAGATTTCTGGGTCTCAAGTCTATGGATCTGGGAGAGACAGGTATACCTGCCTGGCAATTTCCCTGAGTCCTGAAGAGGAGAGAAACCATGTAAGTCCCCTGACCTTCTGCCTCCCAACCTCCCAAGACACATTTAGGCCCTCTTCAAGGGTGTATCTTTCTGCTGTCACCAGACAGGAAGCAGACACAAACACTGGGAGAAGGTCTGTCCAGCAACACCTGACTCCATCCTTCTCACCCTACTAGAAGCCTTCTGCAGCTGTGGGTACATAAACAAGCCCAGTGCTGCAGATGGACCCCATGCACCCATTAGGTCACTGTCTGTGGACTGTGCATTACAGGCATTGTGTTTCCAGGTGTTTTCCTGCAGATCTCCTTCCCAAGGATTGTACAACTTTAGATTACAGAGCTAAAAAATATCAACAAACAAAACCACCCACTGCTGCAAACCCTTATCCTTGAGCCCTCAGGCAGTTCTAGGGCTCCAGTCCCATGCTGAGACCCTCCCCACAGAGCTGTCAGTCTTACCTGCTACTGCACAACCAAGAGTGTCTGGAAGGGCATCAGCCTCTGGTCACATGCAGCACAGGTAGCCTGCGTCTGCCTAACAACTGGTAATAAGACCTGAGTTGACAACTAACTGGTTGGATCCTTGATATTTGTTAATCATAAAGTTCAGGGTCACAGAGTTCTCCAGTGAGAGCAGGGAGGCCACCCTCATTCACTTTGTGAACTCTGGGTAATAATTTGTAGATCACAGTAGAATGTGGATGCTCAACAGTTTTCACCCCCATGGAAGGCCTGTCACCTGCACTGTTCCCTCAGGACTGCCACCATCTTTGCCCTCTTTCAAGTCCAGCCCGATCCTGCACATAACTGCTCAGAGCAGCCTGGTGTTGGGACGCACACACACTGGGTTCCCATGTCCTGCCACAGCAACAGGTCCTATAGCTGGACATTCCTCTGTCCATGCTGTGCTTGATCCTTATAAAATACTTCCTAAGGGACCCCACACTGCCCTTCTGGCCCTGCTCCTCACCACCAGCCTCAGTCAGCACTAGTGTTCTTTTCAGCCCCAGCTATGGTGCCATCCAGATGGCGGGCACTAGACAGGGCACAGCTGCCTGAGTTCGAGGGCTGCTCAGAGCTTGAACGTCATGCTTCCCACATGGGTGACCAAAGGTGTTGCTTCACTACAAAATGTGAGAGCAATATTTGTCTCTACAGAGTGTCCCTGTGGAAGGTGTTCTCTGCCTCTCCCTTCAAAACTGACCTGAAGGCAGTGAGAGCTGTACTGACCCATTTCCTCCAAGACCAGTAGGATACTTGCAAGGTGGAGCTAAGGCTATGGTAGGATTTTACTTTGAGGAAGTTTTCATGCCAGCCTAGAATGGGACACTCTCAGAACTGTGACAAGATCCAGTGGAGAAGATGCTGGGATGTCAGCACAGTGAGGCTTCTCAGAAGGATGCGCAGAGCTGAGACAACACCTCAGAAAGGTTCATCTCCTGAGCAGTGAGGGAAGAGAAGCAGGGAAGTTCCTGAGACAGCCATTGGGGAAAAGGTTCTTGAAGGCACATGTGTCTAACACCAGCAGGGACCTGCTATACAGGACCCAGAACACAGGCAAGTAGTGCAGATATCCTTCTCTGGATGCACGTGAAGCCATGAGGAGGCATTTTAGCTGAGAAGCAAAATGACAAGTATGGAGAAGCAAGCCGCTTGTTCGTCCTGGCAACCCAGAACCAAAATCATTACACAGCAACTATATTAAATAAAACACTGCTTGGCCCATTACCTCTAGTTTCTTATTAGCTAACACTTACATCTTAATTTAACCCATTCTATTAATCTGTATATCCTCACAAGGTCGTGGCCTATCATCAAAGTTCCAGCATGACTGAGTCTCAGGGCAGCTTCAATGCACCCCTCTCCACCCCTTCTTTCCAGCATTCCATTTAGTTTTCCCCATCTATCTCTGTTCCCTTATAGCTCTGATATAGGCCCAAAGCAGTTCCTTTATTAACCAACGAAAGCAACACATAGACAGAAGGACCTCCCACACCATTTCCCCTTTTCTGTTTAAACAAAATGGAAGGCTTAAACTTTAACATAGCAAAATTACATATAACAAAACAGGTATCAAATAAGAATTACAGTTATAATATTTATATCTACTTTATGAGTAAGGAAAACTATAACTATAAATACTTCAACTGCATCAAAGACTGCAGAAGGATATAATATTACCTATGTAAGCAGGAAGTACATTATATGCAACTTTCAAAACTCTAGAATTGACATCTCAGCATCTTCTCCACTGGACTTTGTCAAAATTCAGACTGTCCCATTCTTCCCTGCCTACTTGACTGTGTTCTAGGTCATGTATAGCCAGCTCCCTGCTGGTGTTAGATACGCATGCCTTTAAGGACTGTCTTCCCAAGGGCTGTCTCAGGAACTTCCCTGCTCCTCTCCCCTCCCTGCTCAGGAGATGAACCTTTTCTGAGGTGTTGTCTCAGCTCTGCGCATCCTTCTGAGAAGCCTCACTGTGCTGACATCCCAGCATCTTCTCCACTGGACCTTGTCACAGTTCAGAGAGTGTCCCATTCTCCCCTGCCTATAGCAGAGATAGGCGCAATGACTAGCATCCTGTTCCTTCTCTCCTAATTACTTCGTTCTGAAACTTTCTAAAAGTAAGACTCTGCCATAGATAGCCTCCTCTCCGCCTTGCAGAGAGCTTGCTTGTCACAGTGGGCCTGAAGAAAATGGGGCCCGTACAGCTCTCACTGGCCTTCAGGTCAGGGTTGGAGGCAGAGGCAGAGAACACCTTCCAAAGGGACACTCTGTAGAGACAGATGTCATTCTTGCTTGTAGGGAAGCAACACTTCAGCTCACCCATATGGGAAGCCTGATGTTCAAGCTCTGAGCAGGCCCCTGAATCTCTGGAATCCCTGGGCCTTTGAACTCTGACTGGGTCCAGCCTAGATTCCAGGAGTGCGCAGATGTAGGGTGCTTCCATCCCCATATCCGCTTGGAAATGCAGGGCTGTATGCTTGGCCTCCCTAAAGTGGTGCTGCCCCGTGAGACTGCCCACAACAGCTCTACAAGCCTGGCCACCATGAGGTGTCAGTTACATCCCAGTCTTCCCCCATAGAAGCAGTCCTCAGCTGTCCTAGCCAACTTCTCACCCTGCCATGACAAAATATCTGTTGTGTCTTCTCTCAGTTCCATGCCCAGCTTCTGGGCTGGGACCCTGCAAATCTTGTAAGCACAGACTCCATCTGTCCTCGAGTCTAGCATGTCCTCAGCTGACACCTGCAGTGCTTGGAAATCCTTCGTTTGTTTCTGCCTCGCCTTAGCATGCCTGCTCTGCCAAGCCCCTGACCTTGCCCAGCTGACCTGCTGGGACAGGACAGCACACAGATGTCTGGCACTTTCAGCCAACTTAGAGACTCCCACATGTGTGCTGAGGCTAGGTGAGCTGCCCCTTCCAAACCCATGGAAACTTCTGGTCCACAAACTCAAAAGTGAAATACAAGCATTAGTATTTTACATTGTCTGTGGATTGCATTTGGTGGGTCACTCAGTCTAGGGGTTTGTAACCCACCCGGCAATCAGTTACTCCAGGGTCTCGGAGGGGCGCTACCTGGAAGGGAATGAGCTAAGACAGAAGAAGGAGGCCAAGCAGATTTGTCAAAGCCTCCGTTTATTAGGGACGGGTTACAGTTTATATATGGTAAGGAATGGGGGGCAGGGTAACTGGATCTCGCCGCGTGGTTCCGGTCACGTAGGCCAGGAGGTAGGCTAGGAAGTCACAAGTTGCCACACCTGGTTCCCTGGATAGCTGGAATGTGAGGCAGGTTCCTCTAACAGATTAGCAGACTCCCCAGGGTGATGGTTCCTGTAATGATTGGGGGGAAATGGCTCCTGACAATTGTCCATAATGCATCATTAATATGGGGCTAGGTGTATGAAACACAGGCACCGCTGATGGAGGAAGGTCATTGGTTAATTATAATAAAGAAACTGCTTGGCCCTCATAGGTTAAAACATAGGTGGGAGGAGTAAACAGAACAGAATGCTGGGAGGAAGAGGAAGTGAGCTCAGAAATCATGCAGCTCCTCTCAGAGCCAGACGCGATGAAACAAGCAACCAGGTCAGACATGCTGAATCTTTCCTGGTAAGCGCACCTAGTGGTGCTACCCAGATTATTAGAAATGGGCTAAATTAATACATGAGAATTAGCCTAGAAGAGGCTAGATATAATGGACCAGGCAGTGTTTAAAAGAATACAGTTTGTGTGTTGTTATTTCGGGGTATAAGCTAGCCAAGCAGCCAGGAGCCGGGCTGTGGGAAGAGGCCTGCAGCTCCCACAACACACCGCAGAAACCAAAAATGCAGCAGAACCTCAAAACCCCCAGTACAGCAATCACATGCACTAGAATCTGGTGTGCACCATCAAGGAGCTTTTATTGTTCATTACACTGACATGACAGGGTTCACTGGTTCCTAGAACATGAAGCAGGGCCTGTTTGCTGCAAAGGAGCTAGGGTTCCAGTTCCACTTACTAGGCAGAAGGGAGGGAATATGTTAAGTGAATTGTTGGATTATCAACTAACTTCCAGAACATACCGAAGAAGTACTGTCCTGTCCTCCTGAATCCCATGCTCAGGTAGAGGGCCATAGCGCCTTTCTGCAGGACGGTGGTCCCAAGGACGACATCACTGTAACCCTGGCCCCGTGCAAACTGGAGGACAATTCTGACCAGTACTTTAGCTATCCCCTGTCCACGGTGCTGTGGCGACACAGATAGGTGAAAGAGCTGCAGCTGCTTCCTCCCTAATGGGGGATCCTTGACTGGCAGACAGCCCACGATGCCCACCACCTTTCCTGCAGACTCAGCAACCCAGAAAGAGCCACAGGCATTCAGGTAGGACTTGGTGATGTCAGCCATGTCTGTGTGCAAACACTTGGCTACATACTCCTTCCAGGGCTGTCTGGCAAGGAGTTTCAGCAGAAGGAGCACAAACAAGATGCTCATAGCAGCTAGCAGCCAGGAGCCAGATACCAGGACCACAGCAAGCGGCACCCCAAGT